TCCATCTCCTCCATCTCTCCTCCATCCAATAAAATTCCAGTTATATAAGGGAAGTTTTAGGAAAATACCTTAAACAGAATGAGTCTTCCCATTTCTCATGTTGGATATAGCCAGCTGCTACATTTCTCAGGTAAGGCTCATGTAATTTGATTGTGTCAATAATTCCATATCTCACAGAAAGTTTAAAAAATGCCAATTCCAACTAAAACAGAAATTTTAAGTAAGTAACAAGCACAGTAGACTTACAGTTTCCAAAGTGACTTTAACATACAATAACATTTGAGAGCATGTGGTTTTCATGAAAACTCAGTTAATTTTTTTTTAATCCTAAATGGATCTTAATTTTTGCTATCCTAGCAGAAGTGAGTGGCACATGAACAATGCCAGACACAGGCTTTGAAGACCACGCAGGCCTGAAACTGGGCACCAGTTTGTTACACTTTAAACACATTAACATTTTAACATATTTTTCTCTGTGTACGAACAGATGACCATCAGCTTCCGATATTCTCTTGTACTAAGTGGGAGGTTGCAGCGTAACAGTTGCTATATGGTTTTCTGGACACAATACCTCCCTCTTCTCTGCTCTCTGCTCCACCTAACCTAATGAGGACACTGAGTCCACAAACAAAAGCAACTTGTAAGAAGTTCCAGAGCTGAGTGGCAACAAAGCGTAGAAGTCTTCAGGTGTCTTATTCACACGTTGTTTCCATGATAAAACTTTAAAGATAGTGGCGGGAAACCAATAACTGCCCTGAAAACTGATTGAAAGGAATAAATAAACTGGTATATGGCTTTTCCTCTCCTACCTAAAATATCCAGTGTTGCTGTGAATCAAGCTTATGATCTGCTTAATAGGTCTTTGCTTCACTGTATTACATATTTTATTCTTTTCATTTCTGTAATGTTGAATCCACCCTGATTTCTGTCTTGAATCCCTAGCCACCAGTTGATTTCTTTCTAACCCTTTCTGCATTAGAGTGTTTTGTCTGCTTTAGTTTTTCCTTCCAACAAAATATGATTACTTCTGTCTCCTCCATCTTCTTTCCCCTCACCTTTATCTTCTTGTATCTCCTCCTCCTTCTCTTATGTGGTTCATCTGTTAAGACATAATAAAAATATATCTGGTCTACAAGATATTTCATGATTATTTCATACATTATTTTCAATTCTTGGTGAATACTGGTGTACCCTGGTCATGAAGCTCAAAGTTATCTATTTTAATCAAATTGCTCACCAGTTTCCTCCTCTGGTATGCAGTTGGAGGAACAGGAGAAAGTTCAGAGTTCATTGCATCGCAGGCTCTATCTGTTGGTTTACCTCTATTTGGAAATATAAAATAAGGTCGGAAACATGGCATTTAGAATATTTAAGACTAATAAGTGACTGGTTTTATAGCAACATTTGAGCTATTTTAGAGCAAATAGTGATTGCTTCTTTTAAATACACAGTTGATGATGTCAGGTCTACAATTTGTTTAGCCCGCGCACACTCAGGCTTGCAGCTAAAATCTACATCCTGCCACTCACTCCTTCGATGACCTTGGGCAAGTCTCATAATTTCTCCACATCTAAATTTCTTTGTGTGTAAAATTGGGATAATAATCTTGACCTCACAGAGAGGTTGTATGAATTAACTGATTAATGATTATAAAGCAATTTGAAAATACAGAATGCTATATAAATGCTAACTATTGTTATTAAGCAAATCAATTCAGAAAATCAAGATAATGACATTTCTTTTCAATCTATTTCTTAAAGTGCTTAATGCCATCGCATCTAAGCTCAGTGGTGTAAAAAAGCAGTTTAAATATTTATAACTTGAAGTTTTCTGGTTTAATCAGTTCCTACTGCATATGAGGGAAGAAAAAATTCCCTTAAAGTAGAAACTTGAATTTATCATTCAAGTTGACTTTTTTTGCTTGAATTAGTTTAATTTCAAGAAAATAAACATCTGAAGCAAACACTCATATATCTGTTATCTCTGGACTTTGAGAACTAAGTGTATATTAAAATCCTAATATTCCAACTCCTTTGCTTTTTATATGTGAAGAAAGTGTTTGAAAAGCATAGTGATTTGGTCATGTTTGCATGTTTTTTATTCTTTTTTTTTTTTTTTTTTGTATTAATCCAGGGTCTACAGGATCTCGCTGTACAGATCAGACTTGTACTGATTCTCCTATTTTCAGCCTCCCAAATGCTGGGATTACAGGTGCTTGCACCACTCCGAGTCTCAATCGCCATCTCAGCATGCCCTGGGGGAGTAGGGTTGGCAGGGCACATCATGGATTGAACCCCAGCCCCTGTCTGCCTAAGCAGGCATTTTAATCCACTGAGCTATCTGACCAGCCCTTGCATGGGCTTTATGTCATAATTGATGTCGGTTTTTGAGCCCTGATGTTGGACCCCTTTATGCTGCTGAAGAAAGTAGAACTAAGGGAGAGAAAGTAGGAGCCCTTATGTAAATAATCTCACTTAGAAAGAATTAGGAAACTCTTGCGCTGAAAGTATAGGAGCAGTTATTATATGCTTTAAACATAACATTAATCCTCTGACCAGTTCCTAGTGTATCCTTTGTGAGATTTTGTCTGCGCATCTTTGGAGGCATAAAACTTTTAAGACTGATAGGAACAACCCTTCTGACTTTCTACTTTCACTTAATTTTGTCATTGTTCTTTTTCAGGCAGGGAAATCAAGAATTTTCAGGGTACAGATAGGTAGTACTCTGTGAAGTACTATATAAACAGAGTCTGCCAAAAATCTATGTGCATGTCAGGAAAAGAAAAATAGTGTGACATTTTTTCAACAGCTGATGTTAACCTTAGGTAGGAGACCCAAGAAGATGCCATAATTGCAGAGAACCTGCTGCACTGGCCCTTAGAGAAGAAATTGAAAATGCATGTGCCGGAAGCTCAATGACCGAGGTTACCCAAGCAGCGGTTTGCCATACTAATAAATGTCAGGCAGCTAATGACCACTACTTGGAACACCTGTTGTAATTGTAGAGGCCAAAGGAAACACATTCATCTCATAATGTCTTGATAAATTTAGTATTAAAATTTTATGCAACTTTTTCTTTTCTTGAAGGTTGCATACATTTTGATGGACTCTGTAATACACATATACACACATTTTAATAAACACACAAGAAGTTGAAGAGTACAGATTTCCACTTGGAATGTTCCAGTTCTGTGACCAGCTCAGCCCCAGTTAGGGAGCTCTAGCTAGCCACAGCTTCTCACTGGGGCATGGCTCCCTAATCAGTTAAAAAGGGTCAGGTTAAAAATCTGTTCAAGTCCCGCAGCACTAAATGCTGTGCTGTCTGAATACAGAGTAGAGTATTCCTCAGGTAGATTTCAGATTCTGAATAGGTCATAGACAATAAATCTGATTGTAAAACCAGTCACACTTTAAACCAAATGCTCATTTGAGGTTTCCTATCCTCAAAGAATAAATTTGCAGAATGTTAATGCTTGAAGGAATATTAGAGATCATTTCATCTGATTCCATCATTTTATTATGAGAAATTGAAGTCTTGAAATATTAAGTAAATAGTCCAAGGTCACAAAGTCAGTCTGTGAGGAAACTGAGTCTAATGAGACAGATTTTTGTGACTTCCAACTGAATGTACTTTCTTCTAAACCATCAATTTAGATGTTGCTGAAGTAAGTGGCACTTTCTCTTCAAGGTTAGGACTTTCATAATAGTTAATAGAATAGTCAAATCCTTAAAAGTTTTGTCCTAGTTGTCTTTTTTACATTTATCATGAGTTCTTTTCTTAAGACATGGCCTTTCAAAGAGGGTATTTGTTTAAAAATAATGAGGCTCAAAAGCCACAGTGTCTAAAATACAATAATTAATACCCACTGTTTCCTCTGAAGCCATGTTGCTAATAGGAGTCAAAGATTTTTTCTTGGTTGAACTAGGAGAAATCTGCTATTTCCTTTGTAGAAGAGCTTAGAGCCTTTTTGGTTCAAACTTAGGCTTTCATAGGAGTCCTACACTCAAGACATCATTAAGGAAAAGGTTGACTGTCATTCATAGAATAGTACTGACTGGGAAAAAAAAACAAATGTTTCTGATTTAACAAACTCTACTCATCATTTAAGTAACTCACTATTGTAGGAGATGCTTGTATTGGCACTTGAGAGCTTCCAAACCAGTATGTCTGTGACAGTCCAGGGATGCATAGTCTGGCATATAAATGACACACTTCCATTGTCATGAAAGATGTTGTGCAACCACAGTAAGAATCCTCTCCACAAAAACTGGTGACCAGGCACATAGATTTTTTATTTCTTTTTTTGATTGTTTTTAATATGGTTTATTAGCACAGTAACAAATGCAGACATAAGAAGTCTACAACATTTAACCAATCCACTGAGTGACTCCTATTCCACGCCTTACAGTTAACAGCTTAAGGTATTTCACTACAG